GAGAAAGACCGTTCCAGAAGAACGACAAGAGCTAACATGGGTTGTTCCCACCTTATCTCATTTTGATCCAAGAAGCACTCAATGTGAAAATGAAGTGAAAATGATCGTTCATCTTCAAGGTATTGCTAATCAAATGCCAGATGCATTTAATGATGCTTCGAAAGTGACACAGTCATATATACCGGCTGCAAACGCACCTGCAAGAATTGATGTCCCTGTTGGACAAAATAAAGTGGCAGCGAATGATTCATCTAGTGCACGCCTGAAGCGTGGTAGACCCCAGGTTCAAAAGATTCAGCCCCTCGAAAGAGAAAGATGAGGGCCCAATTGAACCCAAATGATATCATTCAAGAAAAGGAATTGAATGATAAATCCACAATTCGTGACTCTGTACTTCCAGAAAAAGAAAATGTCCTTGATGAGACACATGTCCCTGAAGAGACAGAAGTACATGAAAGCAAAGAAATATCCATAAATTATGCATGTACTAATGAATTGTGGGATCGAAATGAAATAATCATCGATGACATGTTTGCATTTGCAATAGCCACTGAAATTATATTAAGTGATGATATTGAGCCCCGCTCTGTTGATGAATGCAAACAGAGACAAGATTGGCCTAAGTGGAAAGATGCAATCCAGGCAGAATTAAAATCCTTGGAAAGACGAAGTGTTTTTGGACCAGTAGTCCAAACCCCGCCTGGTGTGAACCCCGTAGGTTATAAATGGGTATTCACAAGGAAACGCAACGAGAAAAACGAGATTGCAAGATATAAAGCACGACTCGTTGCACAAGGTTTTTCACAAAGACCTGAAGTTGATTATGAAGAGACATACTCTCCTGTAATGGACACAATTACGTTCGGTTACTTAATAAGTTTGGTGATTTCAGAAAAACTTGACATGTGACTTATGGATGTCATCACCGCGTATCTATATGGAGAATTAGATACTGACATATATATGAAAGTCCCTGAAGGACTTAAGTTGTCTGAAGCAACTAACAAACCACGGGGTATGTTCTCAATCAAATTAAGGCGATCACTATATGAGCTGAAACAATCTGGGCGAATGTGGTATAATCGTCTCAGTGAGTATTTGATTAAAGAAGGATATGCCAACAATGTCATCTGCCCTTGTGTGTTCATTAAGAAATCAAATACTGGATTTGCTATAGTGGCAGTATATGTCGATGATATGAACCTAGTTGGAACCCCTGAAGAGCTCAACAAAACTGCTGAATATCTGAAAAGCGAATTTGAAATGAAAGACCTTGGGAAAACCAAATATTGTCTAGGCCTGCAGATCGAGCATTGTGTTAGTGGAATTTTGGTCCATCAATCAGCTTACATTGAAAAACTACTGAAGCGATTTGGCATGGACAAGGCTTATCCACTTAGCACCCCAATGGTCGTTCGTTCTTTAGACATTAAGAAAGATCCATTCCGTCCAAAGGAAGATGATGAACTGGTCCTTGGTCCAGAAGTACCATATTTGAGCGTAATAGGTGCTTTATTGTATTTAGCACAATGTACTAGACCAGATATAGCTTTTTTAGTTAACTTGTTAGCCAGGTACAGCTCTGCTCTAACAATTCGTCATTGGAAGGGAGTCAAAGATGTTCTACGATACCTTCGTGGGACAACAGATATGGGTCTCTTCTACTCAGACAAGCCCACAAATGAACAAATCCTTGTTGGATACGCAAATGCTGGTTTTCTCTCCGATCCGCATAAAGCCCGCTCACAAAATGGATATGTGTTCACTAATGGAGATACTGCAATTTCATGGCGATCAACAAAGCAAACACTAGTTGCAACATCTTCCAATCATTCGGAAATAATTGCTTTACATGAAGCAAGTCGTGAATGTTCTTGGTTAAGATCAATGATCCATCACATCCGGAATTCATGTGGTCTACCTTCAAAGACAGACACTCCAACTGTCATTCATGAAGATAATGCAGCCTGTGTCGCCCAGATGAATGAAGGATTTATCAAAGGTGATAAGACTAAACACATATCTCCAAGATTTTTCAGCGCACATGAGCTTCAGAAGGCTAAAGTTATTGAAGTAAGACAAATCTGTTCTAATGAAAATTTAGCAGACTTGTTCACCAAATCTCTACCAAAGTGCACATTTCAAAAGTTGGTACAGGGAATCGGATTACGTCGGCTTACAGATTTGAAGAATGAAGAATCAGGGGGAGATACAATTCAGGGGGAGCATCCATGATACATGCATGTTGTACTCTTTTTCCTTCGCTTAGGATTTTTCCCACTGGGTTTTTCCTATCAAGGTTTTAACGAGGCAACCTAAGCATGCTCAACACCATCTAGGTAAAGTTGTACTCTTTTTCCTTCGTTATGGTTTTTTCCCACAGGGTTTTTCCAAGCAAGGTTTTAATGAGGCAACTGATGTTGATATGTGGGCATTGATGCGTAAAATAACTAAACACACAAATTAAACCCTATTTGTGACAATTGTAGTAATGATGTAAGTAGGGATCGTTCTAACCGGGGATTAACTAGGGGTGCTAATCTAATATAAATTGATTCAAAAACACAAAAACTAAACTTAAAGATTCTAACAAAACTACTATGACTCAAAACGGAAATAAAGCATTCAAAATTACCTAAGACAATCAATTTGACTCAAAAAGAAACTAGAACTTGTTTTGGACGAAATCTCAAGTGTTTATAACTCCAAATGCTTAAAAACACAAAATAACAAGATTTGAATGACTAAGACTCAACAAAATGTGGGGGAATTGAGTTTGAACGAAAATAAATTTAATGGGCAGATTGTAAGGAAACAAATTGTAAAACAAGATTGTGATGAATCAATAGATGATGGAATAGCTAAGGGGTTCTTCTCCACACATGAAATATATGCAATGTAAATCAAATTCCAGTTATCAATTTAATAAGTTATGAACCTCGACACTCCAAGTTAATTAGGTCCGCTTAAATTAACCTTCAGATTTTCCTAGAATCATTAAATTGGATGAATATGCATCGCAACCAAATTCTTTCTAACAAGTTCTCTATATGAACAGCATGATAAAGACACAAGTTAGAAGCATTACGTTCCTTGGAAATCATAAGCATCGACAAGGCAATTGTAACTATGAAAAGCATGATACTCTTGCCAAGAATCTACTTAACATGATCGTGACTAGCGACCTTCACTACTTGTGAATATAATTTCATAACAATTAGGTGAAACAAACTTATATTCTAGCACCAAATTCAAGCATGCCAATTAAGCGTGCACTCTCAATTAACGTACAAGAATAAGTTCTAAATCAAACGGTTAAGCAAATTATATTCACAACTTATGTAACGATTACTGGAATTGATCAACTTGTTTCACATATAAAATCATGGTTTTGAATACACCCTTAGCCAAAATGAAATTAGCCAATCATACTTAAAGCAAAACAAGGATTACATGAATTAGACATTAAAATCCAAAGAAAGAAAACACCTAAAAATGCTCCAACTTGGTAGCAAGTGCATCCAAGAATTCTCCTTTGCTTGCTTGCGGCAGATTGCTTTGTGGACGGATTTTTGGGTAGTTTTATGATGTAGAATGGATGGGGAATGGTATGGAAAGGTTTAGGGTAAGTGTGGAGGAGTGTTTGATGGTTGGAAGGTGGTGGAGAACTAGGCAAAGAGGGTGGAAGAAGGTGGAGTGGCTGTTATGTTTTCTAGGCACTAGAATGGTGTTTTTGGGGTGTTTTGCTTCCTAGGGTGTGTATGGACGAATTTCTGTGATAAAATGATGAATATGGGAGATTGTTCTTTGGCCAAGGGGTGTAAACATGTATTTATAGGCCCCAAAAACCTTAGAAAATCAGGTTAGGTTAAGGATGAAATGCATGGCAATTTGTGTATGTGGTGTGCAATGGTCCAAGGGTGAAAATGAAGTGATGATGCAAAGTGTGAAGGGTAAAATGGAGTGGTCTTGAAGCTAGGGAGCATGAATGATTGTGTACATTGCATAGAGATGGAAAGGGAGGTGAAAATGTGTCAATAAATGGGTCAAAGGTGCAGCAACATGTGGTACACAAGGCATGGGATTCCAAATGTGAATGATGGAGCATCAATTGGTGCATGTAATGGATGTAAATGTTGTCTAAAATCTAATGAGTGAATGGAACAAGAGGTATCAAGCAATTGAGTGTAATAATTAAATGAATTGAAGCATGAAATTAGAAATTATGTAGGGGACAAGAATGATCAAGCATGGCATGGAATCCAAAGGGAATTCTATGTGGTTTGCATGGCAAGGAATGCAAGTTGGGGTGACAGATTTTTTGGCTGTTTTCTTCATCTTTTGGACCATAATTCTTCATATTCTTGGCCTCTTTAGTTCTCAAATTCGTCCATCCACTTGGCCCATGCATTTGCTATCCATTCCAAGCCCAAAACATGCTCCAAAGGCCTCCAAAATGCATATTCTTGCATACTTTGTACTTAGAGTCTGAAAACACACGAAAATGACTTTAAATATTAAAATAACTAAGGAAACACGACATAAATGCACAAGAACAAGCCAACTAAGTCGCATAAATATGCTCCTATCAGGCATCCAAGGGGGAGTGTTGTAAATAGTATAATATGTATGCCCACATACATACAGTAAACATGTCATATGTGTAATAGTGCTTTTATTTGTTTCCATGGTGATGCTCTATAAATAGAGCTTTACGAATGTTCAACAAAAGAAGAGTGAATAAGAAGAAGAAAGAAAAAGAGAAATATATCTAATAGCAATAATATACATTACTTCCTCTGCAACAGCTTGTGTTGGTATAATACTATGCAACTGTTTCGTTCCTGTCCCGAGTAAAGGTTATCTCTCTATAAATTTTGCCTATTTATAACAATTTTGTCATTTTCGTTAAAATCTAAAATTTTTGAGAATTTTGAGTGATTGGATAAGCATTAATTAATTGAATTTAATAATAATAATAATGGTAAACGAGTAAGCAGTGCAGGTGGGAGGAAAGGAAACACACAGAGAGAGTAGAGCCTACGGCATCACGACTTTTGGTTCGTTTTGTTTGTTGGTTTTGGAAGGAATTCCAAAGCAGTTTAATTATAATTATTTTTAATTAAAAAAAGATTCATCGGAATTCTTCGTCGAAGAAGAAAAAGAAATCAGGTGAAGAATCAAATCAGAGGGCTGGAAATCCGGGGGAGAGTTGCGAGGATGATGGCGACGTCTTCGAAAATGGCGGTGGTTTCAACCGCGAATTCGGATCTGCCGCGGAGGGAGTCGTCTATATGTTCACTCTCCACTTTTCTGGCCGACGACGACGACAACCGTCACCACAAGCACCAATCCATGACCATGGACGACATCCTCAGGAACATCTACAGCTCCACCGGGACTGGCACCGGAAATGACATGCACGACAACGGTCACCATCAACAACTTCATCATCACGCCGAGGCCAGGTCCGTCGACGAGGTCTGGAAGGAGATCGTCGCCGGAGGAGCTGGAGTGGGAGTGGGAGAGGAGGAGGTGGGAGTGGCGGAGGGAGATGGCGGGGATCAGGTGCGGGGAGGAGAGGGAGGAGGTGGTGGTGGGGGTGGGATGGAGGAGATGACCTTGGAGGACTTTCTCACCAGGGCTGGGGCCGTGAGGGAAGAGGACGTCAGCGTGAATGCCGGCGGAGTTCCGATTGGGTACGGGCAGTTCCAGGTGCAGCCTCCTCCTCCACCTCCGGCTGCTCAGGGTCAGCTGGTGTACGCGAACGGGACAACAAGTGCCAGCGGAGGCGGAGGTGGTGGTGGTGGAGGAGGGAGGGCTGGGAAGAGGAGAGCCGTGCAGGAAGCTCCACTCGATAAGGCAACGCAGCAGAAGCAGAGGAGGATGATCAAGAACAGAGAGTCCGCTGCCCGGTCCAGGGAACGGAAGCAGGTTGGATTCAATCTTTGCTTGACCATGTTTGTTTGGTTTCTGAGAAAATGTTAAATTGATTGTAAACAAACAGAAATCTGAAATCGTTTATTAAAATTGCCGTGTTTTAATTACGATTTTAGGCTTACACCGTAGAGCTCGAATCTCTGGTAACGCAGCTGGAGGAGGAAAATGCGCGGCTCCTCAGACAACAGGTCTATTAATTCTTCAATCATTTCTTAAAATTTGATCATATGCTTTTACCATTCTGTTTAAAAGAAAGTTTTTCGCTCTAATTCCGTATGCATTCTGATTTCTGAATGCAGGCTGAGCAAAAGAAGGCGAGGTTTAAGCAGGTATGTACTTTACATCTATGAATTGTGAACTGCCTTAGTGTGTGTATCGATTTATTCTTTATGGTTTTCAATTTCATAAATGATTCGTAGGTGTGATCATGTTGAACATAAGCAGCTTCCAGTTCATAAGCTTGGAACTTTCCTTTTTAATCAGCTTTAGGTTTAAAATACGTAATCAACTTGATAGGAGTTATTTTCTAGCTTTACTGATTTTTGACCTTGCATTGTGAAGATTTCTGTGTAGAAACAATACCTCAATTGGGAAGAACGAAAGTTTATATTTGATTTACGAACATTGCCATCACTTACGTAGGGGGTTCTTGGGATCGGTCGGTCGTACCCAGTGCACAAGGCTCCCGCTTTACGCAGGGTCTGGGAGAGGTGAATGTCGGCTAGCCTTACCCCCATTTATGGAGAGGCTGCTCCCAAGTCTCGAACCCGAGACCTACCGCTCATGGGCGAAGGCACTTGCCATCGCACCAAGTGCGACCTCTACGTAGGGGGTTCTTGGGATAGGTAGAAAAAATCATTATGGCTGAACAAGATTAGGATTAGTTTTCATAAAATGCAACAAAATCCATTAAAAGAGTATTCATTTGCTCCTTGGAGTCTTTCTGATGCAAGAGAAATGAGGGAGACAACTCTATGGCCACATCTGTATGCTTTCTCAGTAAGAAGCATGGCAGCTTTTCGTATAAGCAAATCAGAGAGGCTTAGGGCTCGTTTGGATGTGCTTTTAAAATGGCTGGAAGCATCTTTAGAGAAAATGTTTTTGGGTTCCCAAAGCACTTTAAGTGCTTTCTGCAAGAAGCACCAGTTATGTGCTTCTTCTGTGAAACACTTTTAAGTGTTTTTCTAGGATTTACTTGCATTTTTACTAAGGATTGGTTCCAAAAACATTTTCACCAAAAGCGTTTTTAGTCATTTTAAAAGCACATCTAAACGAGCTCTTAAGTTGTCATTATATTTAAATGTCACAATGCTTAACTGAAGTTTTCAAACGTCTTTTGGTATTTTAGCATCATGATATTGTGGTTTGACCATAAGAAGAAAGTTGGGACTGGGTTTTGATATGTGTATGCTGCAGTTAGTATGCGAGCATACAACCTAGTTTGTTAGTTGTTTGGTTTGTGAACCGGAAATTGTACGTAGCCAATCAACTAACATATCGTTAAATAACTGAATTAACTGCAAAAAGAGGTGATATCAGCAAAAGCTTTTAGTATTTTGATCAGGCTGAAGTTTGGCCTATATCTGGAACCTAAGTTGCATGTCACCCTTTCATCTTCTGGTCTGATTTTCTAACACTATTTAGTATATGTTAATTTTTTTACAAGGAGATGCAAGATGTTCACAATTCGGATTCTTTTTCTTGGCTTTTTCTCCGGATTTATCGATGAAACAAAGGCCCTGTTTTGCTGCATCCCTATACTATTGTTGAAAACAGACTAGGTTGCACTTACACACCGCCATTCTTAGCGATCACTCGTAGAATACGCCCTCTGGTTGCTTAGTATTGAGTTGTATAGCTTACAAGTCAAACAACCTTGTTCGGGAAGATATTCGAAAACTACAATGCATTGCAGTCCGTGATTTAGATTCGACGATGTTACATTGTCTTCTTTATATACATCCTTTTATTTTGATCATATCTTCTTTATATACATCTAAAGCTGCATTTTACAAGTGTTAGTAAATGATCTAATTCTCTCTCATTCTGTCTGCACTTGCAGCTCATGGAGAACCTCATTCCTGTTGTAGAGAAGCGGAGGCCACCACATGTTCTTCGGAGAGTACATTCGGTGCACTGGTAGATGCGGTACCAACCGTGTGGTCTGCGGTTATACATAAAAGGAGTTTGGTAGATAAATACTTAAAGAAGGAAAACAGATGAAGGGTCGATTAGCTGTTGGTTAATCTTTTGGTAGTCGGAGCGGATTTTGTAAAGAGAAGCAGGTACAGCTGAAGCTTTGGATCAATTTCAATACAAGTAACTGGATGCTCTCAGTTGACGGCTTGTGGGAGATCCTTTTCAAACACTTGACAGGTTCATTGTAATTAGTATTTGTAGAAAATAACCTCATTTACAGAAAGCCCGGTTGCCCTTCATGCCGGTTGAAGGGCAAGCCGATAGAGCTAGACGACGGACTAATTTATACTAATGTTGCTGTTTACTCTTAAATGATATGCTCGAGTGAGGAACCATATGGTACATGATACTAAAACCCGTTCACGATTTGATTTTCGAATTTGGTTTACCGATGTTGATTTGTTTTCGAATGTGATATACCGATGCTGATCAGTATTCGTTTTGATAAGTTCCGATTATGTGTTAGCTTCGATTTGTATGTATGTAACTAAATAGGACTGAGTTTTATATATCAAACGATCCGGAGCTACAACCAAACTGTAAGAATATTGCAAAGGACTTTTAGAACGTAACATATACAAACCAAACTGTGACATACATACCTCATTTTACCAAAAGTCCCAGAAACAAAGAATTACCATGTTGCTCGAGAAACCGAAGAGATTCTTTCACGGTGTTTGTTTAACCTCTGTATTGTTGCTGACCGATATACTTCTTCTCTTCTTGCAAACTCGGATATATGCAAAACAACGAATGTATTCGCAAATTTGTACATTTCTTGCTCCGTAGAAACTCTCTCTTTTAAGTTACTCCGGGTTGTTTGCGCGACTCAAAAGTTCGAGACCCTCAGTTCTGCAATTCATAATCCGACGGAATACTTCCCTGATTTGGCGTTCCAGCGGATCCAGTCCGTTCTTAAAACTTTCACAAATCGATGCTAGCTCCTGCAGTTCTTGCTCGACTTCCACTTTCTGTTCCTCTTTTAACGGGAACTGAACCAGATCCATCAAGTCTGTCATGTGGCGGGCACATCTCTCGACGTGATAAATCTCCCTCAGCAACCCGTGAGAGTTCTGGCGCTCTCGCTTCTTAGACTCCTCTATTATCCGTTCGTGAAGTGAGGATAACGGGATGCCCCAGGAGTACTGCGGCGGGATCGAAAAATGAGTGCTGATACCTTGATCCTGACATGGGATCGCAGCCACAAGAGACAACAAAACAAACGTGAGAACACAACTCATTGTGAAAACAGACCCTGCAAGACCATTTGTTGCAATAACCTCGTTTCCACGAGGTGCTACCAAGTTGCTTGCAATTGACTGAAGCTGCTTAGCTGCAGACCAAGAATGGGATATGCTCCACGAGTGAGAGCGGGAATGCCCAGTTGGATTCCCAGATGAGTGTTGGCGACGGCGAGCATCCTTTCTTGTGTTATTGTTACGCCCAAAAGACCAGTTGCGGTGAGAAAAAACAGACCCAGAGTCTCTTTCACCAAGCATTTCAAGTGCCAAATCCACCAAAGCCTTTCTTGCTCGACGGAACTGGCCCTCACAGAATGCCCTCTGGCGCGACTCCAAGGCACACAGAACAATCTCTAAATGCTTATGCCACGCACGAATCTTGTCAATCCCATCACGAGCAGCATTGCAAATGTCAAGTGCCTTCAAGCTCCTATCTAAGTATTCATCCGCCCAGTGGTCCAACGGTGGTTTAGAAACCTGCACCTTGTTTTTCAACAATAAAACCCTGAACTCGTCTTGGCAGCTAACAAAAACATCCAAAAGTTTCCGAATCCACGCAATGGAGAGCAATTCATCAGCACCAGCAGCTGACAAGTCATGAAACAGGTCCGTAACAAGTTTTTGAAAAGATTGAACCTCTAATTCCAGCTCACTCAACTCCTGATTAGCTTCTTCTGATTGAAATGGCTCTCGCCGACTCCAAATCGAGCGACCAATCGAAGTCATAGGCGAAGAAGAACCCTGATTGTGCGTCGAAGGCATGGTGACAATGCCACAATATTCCAACACCAAACCCTTCTGAATACTCACACAACTCACAGATTTCACAAAACCAACAGAACCCCACCTCCAATTCAGCTAAATTCGATGCACCAAACCGCGAAAAATCGACAACATTTTAAAATCCACCTACAATTCATTCAGGTTTATCAGTTAAAAAACTCGCGAGTTTAAGCTTTTGTTCTTCCACCTTTACTCAAAACAAATGCAAAGAATTTGAAACCCTAACACAAAATCGAAGAACAAACCCACCTCTACAATGCAATAACACGAAAAACCCAGATCCAGAAAATCTCAGGAGGCAAAGGATCGAAATTTTAAATTCTGAGAAGTGAAAGAAAAGAAAAGTACCTTTGGTTTTGCTTGGAAGGGAGGCTCAGAACTCAGAAGCTCAACTCTCAACGCTCTCCAGGAATGTTTTTGTTGAGAATAATTGAAGACAGACAGGCAGACATGTGCGCGCCTACTGAGTCACTGACTCGGACTCGGACAAACAATATAAACAGTGGATCTTCACAGCTCAGCCCTCTCGCTTCGCTTCCTTCGAAACCCAAAATCCAGGAGCGACAGATGCGGAAATATATTTTAAGAACAAAACAAAAGGAAAATTTGACAAGTCGATGACGTGTCTGAAAAATCACGTGTATTTCTGAAATGTACGTACGCGAGTTGTGTAACAAAGTATTATATACGAATTTACTGATTACGAATGCAAGTGATACTTTGACATGTATTTCACGAATTGTCAAAATACGCTTTTGAAAGGTTTAAACGAAAACTATAAAAATTGTTTGAAAACTTTGAGTTTTAACGATAAGGAAAAAATAAAGGGTAAAGTGAATGATACCATGATTAATTTTTTAGTGTAAAAATGTGGTTTTCGTTAAAGTGAACAATACCGGCAACTTTTCGTTAAAGTTTCATATTTTTAACTACGCTTGTTGGAACTCGATTTCAATCTCACTTTGTCCCTGAAACTCAAAAGCCGACATCTCAAAAGCTGACATTTTACTTCTTGAAACTCGATTTTGATTAAACTTTGTCACTTAAAACTCAAAAGTCGATATTTTGTCGATATTTTACTCTCTAAAACTTGATTTTGATCCACTAAACTTATAATGATTAAGTTGAAGTGTGATCCTAGTTGATAGAAGTACATGCAGCTTGTGTTCTTTGGGCCATTATCACGTAGATTTGTTTAATTAGCCGTTTAAGTGGAAGAGACGTGATAGACGACGCAAGTCAGAGTTCATGATTTTTGGGTAGCTAATTTGGAGTCGGATTCTTTCTTTTTCAAATTTCTCTTATTTTATTTGAACGGTTACAATTAAATTACGTCAACATCTATGTTGATTTTTTTATGAAGGGACAAAAAAAGAGAGTGAGAGAGGAGGAGAGCAATGAGTAGGAGATTTGAAGTGGAGATAATTTTACTCCGGCTAACTCGGTTGCGGGTTAGGCCCATGAATGGGCCAAGAGTTATGGAGTTATTGCTCCCCATCGGGTGACCATGATGGGTTGCCTTGTTTAAATAGTGACTCGTTTGGAACTATTTTTAGAATGGTTGATTTTTTTTTCTTTTTTCGTGAACATGTTTTTGGACTCAATCTTTAGTAAAAATGTAAGTGAATCACGCAAATATACTTGAAGTACTTCCTACTAAAAGCGGATAACTGGTGCTTCTTGCAGGAAAAGTGTTTTCGAAACTCAGTAACATTTTCTCTAAAATCACTTTCAAACAAACCATATATCATGTTAAGGTTAAAAGACTTCTTATGATGATCGTAATTTGAGCTATCACATAACATACCTCATTAAGTGTTTCTTGCATAATTGGTGCTTTTTGTAGGAAAAGTATATTCGAAACCCAATAACATTTTCTCTAAAATCACTTTCAAATATTTTAAAAACACTTTCAAGCGAGCCATATATCATATAAAGGGTAAAAGACTTTTCTTATGATGACCTGTAAATTGAGGTGTCACATGACATGAGAGATTTTTTAGTGTGATCGGTACACGGGGTGGTACATCACGTGTCATTATACAAATGGTGGAATATGTGTGCTAAAAAGTTAATAACTTAAAAAATAAAATTTCTCACAACTTCTATTAAAACACGTGATGCACCATTTATGTTTTCGTCACAATTAAAAATTTCTCCACATTAAGCGTATCTTTCCCGTGGAGATTTGAGAACCAAAATGGTCAATAGCCACCTCCACGAATCCATAGGATAATTTTTGTAAAATATTGGGCTTTTAATATGGGTTGAAACATCCATAATTAAAAAATAATAATTAATGTTGCAGTCATATTTAGAATATGAATGTGATTATGTAAATCCTAGTAGATATAGGAATGTATCTTATTTTTCTATTAGGAGTTGATTATCTATTAAATGTTGTAATCCTAAAGGGAAAGGTTTTTGCCTATCCTACTACTATAAATAAAGGTACAATAGAGTGATATGAGCACACCTCACAATTAAATCACTCTCTCCTCTCTCTAATTGCTGCCGGCCCTCTCTCTCTCTAAACCCTAAGATCGTTCAATCAAATAGGCCTACAACATGTTATCAGCACGTTCTTGCCAGAAGCTGAGGAATTGACGGATCGTAGGAGAAGGCTATCATCCACAAAATTCAAAGGTTTATATTTGTTTTCTGCTAATTAGGTACACTTAAAATAAAAGAAGATATTTGAAACGTGCACGAAGCATGAAAACATTCCCTATGATATATAAACCCCACTATGTTTATATTTTCCTTACGATATATATATTGTATATGTTTATATATTTGTCAATATATATATATTTGTTTCATGCATTACGCAATTATATTTTCTATGTGGAATATGTGAGTCAAAGTATATTCACAAATTAGAAGCAAATAGGGTTTTTTCAACCCTAGATTCGAAAAAAAAAAACAAAATTGGGTGATTTATTGCGGCACCACTGTGCCTCGACTTGGGTTCCCTATCACATAGGCCTGAAAGCCCTGGTCCACCCAAGCCCAAACTCGCATGCCAGAAGCATGTTGGGCTTGTTCCCAGACATGGGCATGCAGCCCCAGTTCTTGGTTTCGGCCCACGCCACAGCTTGCTGGGCTTTGTCTTAGCCCCAACCCGCATAACAAGCAGTTAGCCCATGCGGCTGGGCTCACCTCTACAGCCCAAACTAAACCTAACTTAGCTAGGGTTTCTCGCGACACACTCAGGTCAACCCTGTGCTGGGCCCAAGTCTCTTGCGCCTTTTTGTTTCCAACCCGGCCCGTGGCCTACAGCCCACCTCCGAGCCCTTTTGCTCACGGCACCCAGCCCTATTTTTTTGGGCTATGGTATTTTCGACCCAATGCTATTATTTTA